CTGAGGAGCAGATAGCGTCCCTGCAAACCGCAGTCACCGAGCTCTCCACTGCTGTCGTGGTTTCTCAGAAGACAGTTGCTGAAGCAGAAGCGCGATGCCAGGATCTGCAAGCCAGGTGGGATCGGGCGTGCAGAGAGGGGTTCCCGGGTCCAGACCAGAGGGAATCGGACTCGGACGGAGGGGGGGCAATTTAGTAGCCCACTTCGATGGGAACCTGAAGCATTATCCCAATTTCAGAGCAGACGTCGTATACGCACTGCATTTACTTCGAAAAGACTTCAAAGATGAGGAGGAAAAAGTGGGGTTTATCGTGTCTCATCTGCATGGGGAAGCAAGAAACTGGTTACGCAATTTGTGGCGCGAAGATGGTCTTGCACGCAGGGACTCTGATGAATTTCTCAAAGCCATGGACGCTTGCTTCCAATCTACTGTTGACGTTGATGTGGCACGCCAGGAGATGCATGGATTGCGGCAGGGCAAGGCTACAGTGCGTCAGTACCATTCTCGCTTTTTTGCATTGCTGAATGTGCTGGGCTGGGAAAAGGACTCCCGGCAGTGAGGGACTTGTTTTGGGAAGGGCTTCATGGCTCAGTGAAAGATGAGCTGGCTAGGGGAGACAGACCTCAAACCCTAGCAGAAGTCGTGCAGAGGGCACTCACGATAGGGGTGCGCCAAGAAGAACGCCCTTGGCACAGGGAGGAGGGGCGTCACGTCCGCCCACCAGCTAGAGCGCCTCCTTTTCCTTCCAGGGACTTGGAACGTTCAAGCCTTTCGCCTGTGCTGGCAGCGGGGGAAGAACTGATGGAACTGGGTGGTGCAAAGGCTCAGACAGCTGCCGGAGCCTCAGCGTCAGGAGCAGTCAAAGCGAAGCCTCCTAGAGGGACCAGGAAGTGTTACATCTGTGACAGTGCACGGCACATGGCTAAAGAGTGTCCCCAGAGGCTCCAGAAGCACACTGCAGCCTTAGCAACAGTAACAGGGGAAGCTTTCCAAGGGGAGCAGTTTCAGGGAAACGAGAATGCCTGGTTGGAGGGAGAGACGCTGGGGCTCCGCCAGGCAAGTCAGTGAAGCAGTCCCCAGCGCTTTGCAGCCTACAGACCCCTTACCACCTAAGCCAGTGGTGCAGCTCACTGCTACTCTCCAGCTGCCTAATGGACTCACCCTGGAAGTCCCCATTACGATTGACTCAGGGAGCAACGCAGACTTCGTGGGGGTGCAGTTCGTCAAGCAGCATCGCATAGCCTTACTACCAGCCACGCTGCCTCTGAATGTGGTCACTGTAGATGGCAGGAAGTTGCTGGGTGGGCAAGTGGTACAACAGACGCCACCCATGCTGCTGAAAATTGGGAATCATCGCGAGGTCATCAGTTTCAATGTCACCCAACTGTCAGACACGCCCATAGTGTTAGGCATGAGTTGGCTGGATAGACACAGCCCATCCTTGGCGTGGTACCAGCGGCAGCTCACCTTTGGCCTCGTCCTACTGTGCACAACATTGCATCCAGATCGGCCAGGACGAGGAGGGAACAGGAGGAAGGACAACAGCTGCATCTAGGCATGGTGCAGGCAGTGCCCCACAAGTACAAGGGGTTTTTGGAGGTCTTCTGCGAGAAGGAAGCTGACCAATTACCACCCCACCGGCCCTACGACTGTGCAATTGACCTCTTACCAGGGGCGACGCTGCCGACTGCGAAGCTGTATTCCATGTCTGAAGATGAGATGCAGGAGCTCAGGGAGTTCATAGATCACAATTTGAAGAGGGGATTCATCCGAGAATCCAAGGCAGTGGGGGGGCAGTCCTGTGTTTTTCGTGAAGAAGAAGGACACGCCCCAAAAACGGCTCATTGTGGACTATAGGGCCATAAACTCGATGACAAAACCCAAGGCTTTCCCTATGCCCAAGATTGACGACCTGCTCGCGACGGTGAGGAAGGGGAGGATCTTCACCAAGTTGGATCTACGCGGAGCCTACAATCTCATACGCATGAGGGAAGGTGACGAGTGGAAGACGGCCATGTTCACGCCGCTGGGCACCTATGAATACAGAGTTATGCCGTTTGGTCTCCAAGGTGGCTCCCACTGTTTTCAAGCATTCATGCACCACGTGCTAGCAGGACTCCTCTACAAGAAGTGCGTATGCTTTCTCGACGATATTCTGATCTTCTCAGAATCGCAGGAGACTCACGAAAGAGACGTAAAGGAGGTCTTGCAGAGGCTACGGGAGCACAGACTCTATGCCAAGCTGGAGAAGTGCCAGTTCGACGTGACGGAGGTGGATTTCCTGGGCTACCGGCTGTCCGACAAGGGATTAGCCATGGACAGCGCCAAGGTCCGCGCGGTGTTGGACTGGAATAGCCCGCGCAATCGGAAGGAGGTCCAGAGGTTCGTCGGCTTCGCCAACTTTTACCGCAAGTTCATCAGGGGTTTCGCGAAAGAGACGGCAGCTATCACGGACACCCTCAGTTCCAAGAAGAAAAAGTTCACCTGGACGGACCAGGCGGAGCAGTCCTTCAGGAGACTTAAGAGTCTCTTCGCGTCCGAAGACCAGCTGCTACACGTGAATCCCGGCAGGCCCATGCGGGCTGAGACTGACGCATCTGACAGAGCAGTGGGGCCGTCCTCTTGCAGGAAGATTCGCAAGAGAACTGGAGGCCCTGCGCTTTCTATTCCCGGAAGCTCAGCAAGTCGGAACAGAACTACACCATCTGGGACAGGGAGTTGCTGGCCATCCACGCGGCTTTCAAGGCGTGGCGGCACTTCCTCATCGGAGCCAAGCACACCGTGCAGGTCCGCACGGACCACAAGAACCTAGAGTATTGGCGCACGGCGAAGCTCCAGAGCCAGAGGCACATGAGATGGGCGGAGTTCTTTGCGGATTTCGATTTCCGGATAGAGTATATCCCGGGAGACAACAACGTCATAGCGGATGCGCTCTCCAGGAAACCGCAGTATCTTGAGGAAGCGGCACCAGTGGCAGCCAGGCACATTTTTGCACCGCAAGCGTGGGCGTGCGCTCTGCCGCCGTGGACCTGGACGCGGTACGACGCGCGTTACAGACGGATCCGTTTGCACAATCCAAGATGGAGGAGGTGCGAAGAGGGACAGCAAAGGACGGCGAATTCCAGATACGCGACGGCCTGCTGACCCGCAAAGGTGCTCTCTACGTCCCGGGAGACGATCTCCGAGCGAAGGTTTTACAGCAGTTACACGACGCCCCAGCGCGGGTCACTTCGGCAAGGAGAAGACGGCGGACTTAGTAGCCAGGGACTTTTGGTGGCCCCAGATGCGGGGAGAAGTCGCGGATTACGTCGCCAGGTGTGACACTTGTCAGAGGTCCAAGCCAGTGCACAAGAAGCCAGCGGGATTGCTGGAACCGTTGGAGACGCCACTGCAGCCGTGGGAAAGGGTGGCGCTGGACTTTGTCACTGATCTGCCCAGTTCACGGGGCAAGACGGCGGTGCTTGTGGTTGTAGATCTGTTCACCAAGATGGCGCATTTCATTCCTTGCGCGAAGGTGGCAACAGCGGAGCAGACCGCCAGGCTATTCATAGACCACGTGTTCCGGGTGCACGGCTTACCACGGTCCATTTTGTCCGACCGGGGTCGCCAATTCATTTCCAGTTTCTGGCAGAAGCTCCTGGGCATCCTGAATGTCAAGATCAACTTAGCGTCGGCGAGACACCCGCAAACCAACGGCCAAGCGGAGAGGGTCAACGCCATCATGCAGCAGTACCTGCGCTGTTACGCCAATCAGAAGCCGGCAACTTGGGTGGACTACTTACCGATGGCCGAGTTTGCCTACAACAACACGAAGCACGCGTCAACGGGGGTGACACCGTTCTTCGCCAACAATGGGCGACATCCCAGAACATTCCCGGCGTTGGAGACAACGACACAGGGGGAGTCGCAGGGAGCGGAACATTTAGCAGCAGAATTGCAGGAGGTCCACGAGGAGCTACGACGGCACTTGGAACTGGCTAAACACGCCTACAAAGTGCAGGCAGACAGGCACAGGAGGGCAGGAGAAGACATCCAGGTGGGGGACTGGGTATGGTTAGCAGCCCAGGCGGTGCCGGCCAAGTCGTTAGCTAAGAAGAAGCTAGGACACAAACAGCTAGGGCCATACCAAGTTGAGGGCAGGATCAATCCCGTAGCTTTCGGTTGACCCTCCCAGAGGATTCCCGAATGCACCCGGTCTTTCATAGGTCGGTGCTTACACCCTACAAGGCCCCACACCGATTTCAGGAGCCAGGGACGGCACCAGACCCACGTAGGAAGTCACCTGGGGGGGGGGAAGTCACCGAGGACCCCGACACTCAACGAGGTCACGGAAATTCTGGACTCGAGATGGGGGAGGAGGGGTGGAATACCTCCTCGCCAAGGAAGGTACCCCGGCCAGCGCCAACAGTTGGGTGCCAGATTATGCTCTGGAGGAACCTTTTCTTAAGGACGAGTTCCATGCACTCTTCCCACACAGGCCCATGCCAGAGGAGTATTTTGACGACTGGCTTTTTACCCCCACACTTTCAGGCAGCACCTTCCGGGGGTTCTCCTCCGCAGAGGAGACCACGCCGCAATCGAGCCCTCCAAGGGGATCGTGCTCGGGGGTAGACACGGACCGCTCTTATTGGTGGGACGATCAACCAGAAGTGGGGTGGCGAAGGGGGCCTTGGCAAGCAGCTTCGCCTGAAGTAACAGGGGGAGGGAAGCTCCTAAGTATTGCCTGCAATGGAGTTTCTACGAGTAATACCCACTCTAATTTAGCGGTGCCATACCCCATGGAGGTGGAAACAGCAATTCCCCAATACCCAGCATATAAGGTGCCTTCTGCATTGGATGGGAAGGTCTCACTGCTGGAGGCAGACTCTTCTCCTCCCCTTCACGTTGGTAACTCATCCCTGCTTCTAATAGACTTATCTGTCCCCTCCGTGATTAACCGATCAAAGAATGGAACTCAGGATAACACCCCCCTGGATAAATCGTTGTCCCTTCATTCCTCCATGCCGGACTTGGAATCAACATACATCGAAGACCATCCACGACCTGAGACGGCAGTGGCCATTCCAAGTCAAGCTTCTCCAGCGCACTCTTGCCCACCAAAAATCCAACAATTACGTGAGGAAGACACTACAGTGTCGAGAGTCACCACAGTGTGGATTGAAGACCCAGCAGGACATATAAATCAAAGGATCACAAGTGTATCGGTTAGATCCCCAAAGAGGACGGCTCCAGCGGACTTGGCAGGAGCCTCTTCAGAGCCTAGTTGGGCCCGACAGCTAAAAATGCCAAATATTATTCCTACCCACCAGGATGCTAACTCTCTTCTGCCTCCCAAAAATTCTGGCCCTCGTGAGTCGATCGTGCCACAACCGGCTCGCATTAGAGCAAAAGACTCCCCACAACCGGTGTGCACCAGAGCAAAAGACTCACCACACCAGGACGACAACTTTCAGCAAAGGAAAATAACGGACTTCTTTAAGGGAGCGTCCTGGTCGCATAAGAACCCCCCACAAGAATTTAAATGACGGTTAGCCGGACAATCCAGAAAACCACCAATATCGATCCTCTGTTGGAACATAGCTGGCTGGCGTAGGAAAAAATGTGACCCAGAATTCCAGTCGTATATCAACTCGTTTCATATCATTCTATTGCAAGAAACTTGGGAGGAGGGTGAAATTGTCATAAACGGATTCGACCTATTATCCCTTCCAGCTTATCCCTCCCAGAAAGGAGGACGGCCGAAAGGTGGTCTAGTAATTGGTATCTCACTGAAGCTGCATTTCAAATTTTCACTAGTTTTGACTGCTCCCCTTATGCTTTATCCGGGTTGATGTCGGGGGAAAAGTATCACTGCTAATCTCTAATGTCTACCTCCCGCCAGGGGTTCGTCCCTTGAACTGCATGATAGATGGGAAATATTAGAAGATCATTTAGTATCATGCCGAGTCAAATATGCCAATAGCCAATCCTTAATTGGTGGTGACTTCAACGCACGTATAGCAGCAAATTGGGCTGATTTAACTAAAGCTAAATGGTGGACTGCTCCATGCCTTGACAATTATGATTTGAGACATGCCTTAGGGAGAGCCTCAAAAGACTCCAAAGTAAACGAGGCTGGAGTACTTCTTTACCAGATGGCTATTCGCTTAAACTTAGAACCCCTGAATGGCTGCTGCCCTCCTGATATACCGGGGGAGTATACCCACCTAGGCATAAAATCAAACAGTGTGCTAGATTACCTTTTAGCCTCGAGTGACCTGATTTCGAAAGCTCTCTCTTTTAAGATTGGCAATATTCACTATAGTGATCACCTTCCACTTGCTGCTACGTTTGACCTAGACTGGCACGGGGACGAGCACGGTCATCCAACTCAATTAGATACTAATGCAGAAAACCAGGTAGAGGGTATTAATACGGCATTACGAGTGAAGGGTATAAAGTGGTCTGTAACGCAGGCTCAAAAATATTCTGAATTTTTCAGCAGGAGATCATACAAACCTATTCAGCCCTTGGCATAACTTCATATGATCACGACCAAACTATTAATCTATTTGCCAATCTGTTGAATGACCTCACGTCATTCTTTTCTGTCCCAACCCACCAGGCAAATTGGGCCCACCCCAAGACAGGTGCACCGTGGTTTAACCGTAATTGCAAACAAGCCAAACAACATCTTTGTGCTATTTATAATGATTACAAATCCTCAGGGGCGATTACGCTTCCCAAGGAGTACTATCAGGCAAAATCAGCTTACAAATATGTGCAGAAAAAGGCCAAACAGGAATGGCAATTGAACCGCTGGCAAGCACTTATAGCTGCCTCAAGTACCCGTAATTCCCGAAAATTCTGGCTGTTGGTTAACAGAAAATCTAAAAGATACCCCTTAACAGTTATTCCTGCCCCAATTTGGGAATCCTTTCTAAGGAATTATTTTGCCTTACCAGACCTTAATATTAATACAATCGATGGAGTCTATGAGCAGCTCCCTCTTTGGCCACCCACTGACCCGGAAGAAATCCACGGACTTATTTCTAATCTTAAAATCGGAAAAGCCCCGGTTCCTGATCTAGTCCCTGCAGAAGCTATAAAGCTTCTTGCTTACTGGTGGGCGAAAATCTTGGCCGCTACCTTTGATGCCGTAAACAACAGTGGGAAGGTACCAAGAATATGGAAGGATGCGATTATTGTTCCAATTCATAAAAAGGCTCGACAGATGACCCGGGAAATTACAGGAATATCAGTTTATTGTCATTAATCGGGAAAATATATGCACGGTTCTTGTTAACTAAGCTTACTAAGTGGGCCGAAGAGAACAACCTGATTGGGCCTGAACAGGCTGGTTTTAGACCGAATCAGTCAGCGGTTGATCAGATCTTAGTTTTATACCACCTTGCCCGGAAATACTCCTCCCCAAATAGAGGCCAACTTTGTGCGGCCTTTATTGATTTAAAGGCCGCTTTTGACAGCATCCCCAGAGGATTGCTTTGGGGAAAACTAGCCCGATGGGGAATAGACAAAAGACTTTTGTGGCTAATAACTAAACTGCATGACGGATCGGCCGCTAGGGTGAGAATCTCTCCGGCAGGCGACCTCTCAAACTCAGTAACTATCAATAGAGGTGTTCGCCAAGGATGTATCCTTGCTCCGACCCTTTTCAATCTATTTATAAGTGATATGAGGGCGCCTCTGATAGAGGCTCAAGAAACGATCCACGCCCCCCGTCTTGCCCAATATCGTTGCCCCCTTCTACTCTACGCAGACGACGCAGTGATCCTATCCTTTTCAAGAGTCGGCCTTAGGAGGGCATTAAAAATTTTCGATGTTTACTGTAAATCAAATTTTCTTACAATTAACCATGTTAAGTCCAAAGTTCTAATTTTCACCAAGAGTAGAAAAACCTATAATTGGAGAATAGACGGAAAAGCTATTGACCAAGTCTTTAAATTTCAGTACTTGGGAGTCTTCCTCCAACACAACATGGGCTGGAAGGTCCATGTTGCATATGTATTAAACAGAGCTAAAGCCCTTTCCTATGCGCTATTGCGTTTTTCTTTTCAGATGGGGCTTTCCATATTCCATCAGTGTTAAAAGTTTTCAAGGCAAAGGTGATTGCAACAATAGCATATGCAGTCCCATTATGGGGGTCCTTTGCTAATCTAACCCAGTTGGAGGTAATCCAAAACCAGCTTTTAAGAAGGTTGTTAAAATTACCCAGGTGTGTAAGCAATACTGCTATACGACTGGAACTAAATGTTACATCTCTAGAAACCACATTATGGAAATGCATCCTCTGTTACTGGTTGGCTTTATGGCATAAACTTCCAAATCTCCACCTGATACAATGCCTCTGGAGAGATGACTTCCCTAGCCCCTGGGCAAAAATAATACATGGGAAACTTGTGTCCCTAGGACTATCTCCATCCGAACTATTAAAATTGGATTTAACTTCGGCCAAAAGAATTATAACTCACAAATTAGAGGAGATGGATTTACAATTTAATATTGCGACAGGTGGAGGCACCTGTTCGCCGATAAACCTTGGCTTAACTCCACCAACGAAACTTCCATCTTACTTAACTACCTTATCTGTGGTGACGCACAGGTATGCCTTTATAATGGCTAGATTCAATGTTTTCCCATCAAACGTGTTGGGTAACAGACTCTCCAACGGACAGATCTCACTCCTCTGTGACTGTAAAAGCGGATCTATAGAATCGTTATATCATATAATCTTCTGTTGTCCATTACATTCGGCTTCACGGTCCAAGTTTCTGGCCCCATATTTATCGAGAATTGCTGACAGTCCTCAGGAAGCCCAAATAATATACTTATTAAACGACGAAGATACAAGTAGATCCCTTGCAATCGCTAGATACCTGATTAATGTTTTATTTCAAAAGAGGAGAAATGGATCACTGTATGTTTCTGACAGCTTAGCTAAACTTAAGAACCATCAATAAGTGCCAGAACTAAGACGTATACCCCCAAAATCTGATGGATCGGAATTGCGGTTTACATAGAGGGAGCTTATTGTGTATAGTGTTTACTTAACTAAAGTAAAATTGGTTTTATAAGGGTGTTTTAACTTGGAACTGTTTAAATTGTATTGTTTATGGATAAATTCTGATGTATTGTTTTTGATATGGGCCAATGGCCGTAATAAATCTAAATCTGAGGGGGAGGGAAGGGTTTGGAGGTGTTGGGGGAGGACCCTGGTTTTGAGCACTCCTACACTGAACTGGAAGCAGAGGAGATCGACGTCGACGAACTGTATCCAGCATCTACCCCCGCTACAACGAAGCTCCCGGAACCTGCGCCTGAGCAGCAGGAGGGGGGAAGGGGGGGCTTCGAGGGGGGGATGGATGTCAGGGGTTCAGGGACAGAGGCACAGGGTAGGCAGGAGATGGAGAGCGATGGGGAGGAATTCCAAGCCAGCGAGGAAGAGGATGACAATGACTCAAGAGATTCCATGAGTCTTTCCAGCGAATCAGAGGATTCCCAGAAGGGGGCGCCGGTGGTCAAGGCCAGGAGAGCCCCAGGGGGGAAGTGTCAGGAGCAGGGTGCCAGCGGAAGATCCCAAAGTGGCAGCTGGGCGTCAGGACCAGCCTCCCCACCAGAGTGCAGCGAAGGGGGTGGAGTTTCCAGTGTGTCAGAGGAAGCAGCTCCAGCAGCAGAGAAAGGAGGGGGTCAGAGCAGCCGCCCTCCCGGAAGGGGAGGGAGCAGTGCAGGGAGTAGGGTCACTGTCAAAAGGAAAGCTAGAGGTGTGGCGCGCGCGCCGAGTTCCACGGGAGAGGCGCGCGGACGTGCAGGGAGCCCGGAGGAGGGGCCAGGTCCCAAAGCCCGCAGGAGGGGGGAAGAGCAGTCTGGGGATTCCGCATCAGAGGAATCCAGGAGGGGCGAAACCCCAGTGGGCAGAAGGACCCTGCGGAAAAGGAAGGAGAGAAAGAGGTGGAGCAGCGCAAGTCTCTTAAATTGGTGCAGGGGAGGAACTGACTCAGAGGGGACTTCGGCGGTCTAGCGTAAAAGACGTAAGGCTGCGCGCCTAGGATGTCAAGCAAACCATGAACTGCAATAAACACTTTTGTATATAAGAAGACAGAGGCGTTGGTCTTTTGTGAGCTAAGACTTGAGGCAGTCTTGACAGCATGGTTTGGACCACTGGGGCTAGCCGTCACCGGGGTGAACCACACTAGCTTACAAGTGGACATGGATGCCATATGCAAGGAATTTCCAGGGGTTTTTGATGGGAAATTGGGACAGTATACGGGCCCCCCCCCATTGCTCTACAGCTTGATCCCGCAGTACGACCTGTCAGGCTCAAGGCCCGCCGGGTCCCGTTTGCCCTGAAACCTCGTATAGACGAGGAATTGGACCAGCTCGTGGAGCAGGGAGTGCTGGAGCCGGTGCCTAATGCCCCCTGGGAAACCCCAATCGTCACACCCGTCAAGCCTAATGGTTCGGTCCGCATCTGCACAGACTACAAATGTACCATAAACAAGGCCCTCACGGCCCACGCATACCCAGT